TTTTATTTATATTAACTTATTTATTGGCTTAATTAATTTATATTACATCATTACGCCCCAATTTTTGTTTACAATGTTACCACTCAGTTGTGGGAATACGAAATCCCTTGCTCTTCAGTTCGTCTAATTTTGTTAGTAGAATGAACTCGAATTTTGGATCTAATAATATATTTTTAAATTTTAGTATTTAAATTAATTAATTAAAATTTTAATTTTTATTAACTACTTAAAAATTTTTCATTTTCTATGTTAAGAAAAATTATTTGTTATTAGAAGTTTTGATGTTTAAAAAGTACTCCTAAAATCGACTATGCTCCTCTATTGTACCCACCAGTATATTCTTTTAATTATTTATATACCCACAACCTAACAAACTTTTTAACTTCTTTCTCCTTAATGGTAAAAAATAAAAATAAAAAAGAGAGAGAGAGAGATTCTTTCTGTTCTCTTCTTTTAAGGAGAGAGAGAGCGTCTTTATGTGCTCTTTTATTTTATACACTTTGTCCTTTTGAAAGAAAATTTAAAGAGGTAGTTGGAGCGTCACTGTTTTGGAAAAGGAATTTGAAGAAGTTGATTAAAATTGTAAATATAATATATTATTTTTTATTTTATAATTAATTATATTATGTTTTGGTTTATGTGCCAAAAATTAAAATTTTTAAACTAAATTATGTGTGTTTTTAATTGATTTTTATTTTTTTAATAAATAATAAACCAAACAAGCTTTAAAAAGTTTTTTTGATAAATTAAAAATTAAGATTTTATTTGGTTATGCGTTTGGGGGGTTTTGGAGTTTATTTTTTTTGTGTTTTACTTTAATAATTTTTAAGAAAATGAGGGTAAAAAAAAAAGGTCAAAATGAGTATAGAAATTCCATTGCATTTATATACCTTCGCCATGGCTAACTGCCTTATACTTGGTGCTATAATTTTTTATTATTTCGATCTATAAATTATGATGAAAAGAAATTTTAAGCAATAAAAAGTCAATGAGTGCGGCAATTACCTTCGTATTTTCTATTTTTCTCTTTTGGGGAGGCGATGATTTGAGTTGTTGAAAGGAAGATTTGAGAGGTGAAGGACGCGACAAGCAAGGTGAGAAGGCTAAAAATCAAATGACATGAACAGTCCAACTTAAAAGCAAAAGCATGTGGCATTTTGTTTTTTTTCCTTTTTTTTTTTCTTTTTTTTTCTTTTTTGGCTTTTTGTTGATAGGTGGCACGTTCATGAATAAAAAAACAAGTTATTGGAAAATCACATGAACGGTCCAAGTTAAAAGCAAAAGCAAGTGGCTTTTGTTGATGTGTACTGTAGGACCTTCATGAATCAAAAGCAAGTTCTTATAAAAAGGATATGAACAGTCCAAGTTAAAAGGACGACATGATACCCAAAAGTTGCTTCAGAGCCTGAAATCATGAGAAATACAGAAGGGTTCATATTATTTAAAAGAAAATGGGATTGAAATTTATGAAAATATTAGCCAGTAGCCCCACATTATCTACAGTATAATTGCTAATAAAAAACACAAATAAATTTAAATTTTTGAGCAGGAGACTCAATAGTTAATAGTTTAAAATTTTAAATTAAAAATTTTATATTTAAATTTTAAATTGAGTGAAAAAAAATTTAAAAAAATAAAAAAAAATATTTTTTATTATATAATTATTATCATAAGATGTATTAAAAACACACACATAAATTTAAATAAATGAATACATGTGAATTAACAACTTAACTATAGCGCAGATAGTACTTACTTTCATCATTACCACAAATTCCTTTTCTATTTTAGCTTTCTGATTAGGTGATTACTTGTTTCCTGGCACACTGAGCTTAGGTGGATCATATTTAATTCATCTTCCCTTCAAAATATCTACAAAGGCAAATACCATGGAAAATGATGCATTTTCTTTAAGAAAAACAATGCAAAATTTTGATTCCTAGTAAGAATCAATTGATTAAAGAATCCAAAAAATAATTTAAAAAAACAAAAGGAAAACTAACAAACCTATAATTGCAACTGGCCATCACCTAGGACTTCTAGCTTGATCAACCTTCTCATCTTCATTATTTGGGTAACAGTTCTCCTTAGTCCTCTCTGATCCACTTTCCATTACTTCTAGAAAAGAAGAGATCAGGAATCATGTGATTACCAGAACACAAACCCTCTGTACATAACAAATGGAAACCTAACATTCCAAAAGAAAAACTTCATATAGCATAAGGGAATCTCCTTTAATTTTGTTCCAAGCCGGAATCATATATTCAAACAATGGTCGAAGTGGTGCTTACCTTAAACTTAGGCAATCTTCAAATAAAGTAACTTTCACATATATTTGCATAATTTTGAATAGTAGAAGATGTTCAAAGATTTAGAAACTTCCTTTAAATTCACTACAGGTAAATAGGCAGAGTAATTACCCATTATAAAGATCATTTTAGCAACACGATTTCTTTGTCATTATTTAATCTTAATTATTAGTGAATTCTTTCAGTCACAAACTTGAATTCGTATATCTCATCTGCATTCCAGTTCCTGTGAGCATCAACAAAGACTTCCTATAACGGGAGTTGATTCTGTTTGGGAAAATATTGGGGCTGATTGGCAGGTTAGTTGGTGCTCTTGGGTTAGAACATCCTAATGACAATGAAATTAATACTT